GCGCACAATGTACCTGACAACCTTAACTAACCCTTTACACAAAACGTCACACAAATACGCAGGTGATCTATGAATACAAATAAGGGAAAACGAGAGTAGACACAAGGAATAGGGTACAAATGTCGAGAAGCTGACTGAAGATGATGTTACGAAGGCAAAGATGGTGTAGCGATGGACCAATGGGGGGGGGTAGCTGAATACAGGAAGTGGAAAAAAAAACAAAACATACAGACACACATAGGGACGTAACAGAGTTCATTTCTCCACTTCTCATTTGTACCGGGTGCTACTTTCATTCAAAACCTCTCCTAAATTATCTCCTATCTCTCCTAAATTATTAACAGTTTAACACCCAATGTTAAAGTGAGCACTGAAGATTAATTGTTCACCTGTCCATATTACCGTATAAAATATTGTAATATTGTGACAACATTTCTCAGTTATTGTGGAACTGATTAGTTTTCTAGACATGCAAAAGTAAAATCATGGTTTGTTCTCCCCACACATCCATTCCTCTCCCACTGGTGAGCTTATTCTCCAAGGAGCAAGTGGAAAAAATGGAAAACCAGGTACAGTAGGCAAAGTGGGTTACAGATTAGATTTATGATGTCAGGCCAGCCTCAGCTCCAGCCTAGAGATTTCCTGAGCAGTTATATTCTACTTCAGGGTATAAATGGTGTAAAGAGCTATCTTATGGGTGGTTAATCTCCGGCCACTCTACTGGCTAACGAGGACCAATCATACCTCCTTTATTCCTAATCAGTTTGTAGTACTGTATGTGACTAATTCATACCAAACAGATTCAGGTGGGAACCGCAATATAAAACTTTTTTTCCAATTTTTTTTTTCAGGGAAGTTCTGAAGCTTTTAAACTGGCACAGGGTTAAAACCAATAACAAAACCATTCAGCCTCATAAGAACAGAAAACATTTTTTTATAGAGATAATGTAAATCAGTTGCCCAGTGATTATAAACTTGGCTGTAGCAAAAATCTGAAAAAATGGGAACCAGTCTTAGTGGCTTGAAATTGACCAAATAAATTAATCTCACTCTTTAGTGGTTTAACTCAAATTAATTTTCATCACATTTGTTTACACAGCGTATTACTTTTATTAAAAATCACTTTACAGAGAAAAAACATTTCCTCTAGCATTAGTGCAATAATTTCTCAGTGTGTTGACCTTGCCATTGGACTGTGGGAGACAAAACTGGACTAGTATTTAAATTCAGACACCCCTTTTAATTACGTTTTAAAATTAAAAGACGTGCAGGAATTAATCAAACATTGAACTAAAAAGCACATATACAGTTGCCAAGAAAAATAGAAGCAGAATTATTTTTCCACACAGGGGATTAATACTTCTAAAGATTTTATTTAAAAATATACATCTATGAAAATACTAGGAATTAGGGCTCCACGGAAGAAGAAAGCTAAAGACATTAAGATTCCATATGCAAAATATCAGGTAATGTTAACCAAGGATGAGTAAATGTAGCATAAAATTTGCAGGAAGAATATAAATGAGTGAAACAATACAAGGCTCTGTTTGTGTTCCGTGTGTGAAACTTGCTAGAAAACTCAACGAAAGAAATCCATGTTCTTTTCTACCCTAAAGAAACAAACTGTTTCAGGATTTTTTTTTATTAAACTGACAACTGTCTTTCTCCTTTTTCAGCTGATTAAATTCAGCTTCTTAGGGCAACATTTCTTCTTTATGAATCCAAGCCAACAATACCAATCTGCTTATGCCTTAAGGTTAGTGGGTCTATCAAACATCCAACCATTATCACAAAGCCACTTATTCCTGGTAAGAAAAGTGGGGCTTATTCTGGAATCCTAGGGTGCAAGGCAGGACTACACTCTTGACAGTAAGCTGGTCCAACATGGGAGGAGTAGAAGCAGGCTGAAAAAAACCCACACAGAGAAGCATGAACATTCCACAAGAGGCCAAAGTTTAAATTTACACTCAGGACCCAGGAGCAGTAAGGCATAAACACTAAACGCAGTACTTGTCTTTCACACAAACTACAAAAAGAAACATACATTTTCTTTGTAAAGGAACATGAAAAGTTTTGGTTTACAAATGTTTAAGCCTAAAATGATCATATGGATTATTATTGTCTTCTTTTCTCTTTCAGACTTTCCAACTCACACTTTTTGAACACCACATACAGTAGCCCCTCACCTTCAAACATGGAATGTGTTGTGACAGAGACATGACAATGTATATGTGACAAAGATTGATCCCACATCAACCAAGTTGGCAGCCGGATGCACATATTCAATAATGCTTTCAAAATCTTGTTATTATGAACTACTGCACCAACTGAACTGAAAAATTTATTAGTAGCCAAACCTACTTCAGATTTTGTCCTTAAAATTGCTGCACTTTTTATGTCTAATTCTTCAGATTCTTGGGCAATACCATAAACTGTAACTGTTCTAATGTTGTTTCTGGCATGTTACTTCTAAATATGGTATGTTCCATCATACTGTCAACACAACTAAAATATGGAAAATATGGAAAACTAAAAATGTGATTCCCAAATTCCCAAACATAAATATTTTAAAATTATCTCTAATAACAAGCAATAATTTGGGGGATTATTTAAATGTGAACCTCTTTTATCTAGTTTCCAGAAATTTGTAGAGAAATTTTGCTTTGCTAAATTTGCTAAAGCTGTGAAGCTAATGAGTTTTGCTGCTGATGCTGATGAAATGGAAAATCCAATTAGTTAAATTACTGAGTTAAATTACTGAGTATGCAATAAACTCAGAAACAACCTCATAATGTACAAAACAATTAATTTTGTCAAATTCGGTTGCGCTATGCAATAGATCATACTTTATAGATTTTTTACCACTGTAGGGGTAATGTCACATTGTAATACAAAAAGACCAGCCATTCAAAATGCGTGTCAAAACTCATTGCAGCCACAGTAAGCTGGCTGTGTCGTACCACAGTGCGATTCAGGTTGCCTTATCGTACTGTCCCAAGAATCTTTACTGGCCAATCAGATTGATATTGTAGGTGGCGCTTGTGGTGCAGCAGTAAGTGATGTTAGTGAAAATATTAGCAACATTTAATCTGCTGTCCTATTTTTTAAAATCATTTAATATGGAATATTAATAAGGAATCATGTAACTAAAGAGAAATACATTTAAGTAAAAATAAAAATATAATTCTGAACATCACAATATTAATTAATGAATATAAATATATTTATGTAGCTAACACTTTTCTACTTTGAAAATATAAGGTACAGAACAGTATTCCACTTTCCTCATAAACACATTCTGCCTCAAATTCATGGTCACTCACTGGTTATTTTGGGAAGGATTTCACATGCTCATTTTAACAACATTTTCTATAAACAAGGTTCAAATTGAAGACAATGAACACTACATTCTTGAACAAACATAAGTTTAAGCATTTCTAAGTAATTTTGTACATTTTTTGTTCAGTGTTTTATTATTAATGTCATTTCATTTTATAATGAAATGATTACTAGGAAATCTTTCTTTGAAAGTTATTCAAGTAACTACTGGCTCTTTTTTATTTTTACGTGCTTATTTGTTTTAAATATGATATGTTCTTAAAGCCACTTTGTATAATATACTTTTAACTAATCTTTAATCTAAAAATAAAATAAAAATATCCATTTACTAATTATTATTTATACAGAATTACTAATAATTCTGTCCACATTTGTAATTAAAAAAGTGAAAAATATTACTGTACAGCACTAATGGGCTAATACAAATATTTTTTATTATTAAATTAAGATTTACCTAATGTATGTACTGTATGTGACAGGCGCACGGTACATTAAGTATTCACTAAGGAAAACTACATAATCAGTAAAAAAACAACGGAAAAATCCTATTAAAAGACTTTTTACAGCACATAAGTATGGCTTTATTTTAAAGAATTCTTAGTTTTAAGGAAAGGTTATTTCCTAAAACAAGTAATCTAAAGTAATTAACAAAACAATATATTCAGTAAAGAATAAATTCAACTTTATTAATAGTGTTTAGAAAATATCAGCATATCTAATAATTTTTTAAGAAGTATTTGAAGACGCACTACACAATGGGAGCATAAACACAAAGCTAGTCTCCGTATTTCTCTATTTCTCTATTATTCTCTCAATCTATTGCAAAAGTCCGCTAGCACCTGGCAATATCATACAAACCCAGACAAAAGTCGCAGACGAGTATGATTTGTAAAAACCATCACCTGAGCAGAACAAATCACATATAGACAAAATGACATCACATCTGATCAAATTACTTTGCAGTAGACATTCAAAGCTCAGGGGTATTTTTTTTAGAAAAATAATCTTTCTGATACTAGTTGGTCGCGCCAGCAAAGAGTCCAGTATCCTTGCTTGACTCCAGAATATTTTATTTTTTGGTCAATTTATTACTATTTGTGATAACACCTTCACACTACATTCTACCAGTTGCTCCCTATAAATATCTGTAGCACTCAATGTTCCTTCTCCAATGACCTTCAAAAGAACAGCATGGCCTTGTTGTTTTTGTTTCCTCTCTCTGCTTTTCAAATTATTCCTGTCTTTTTTAACACTAGTAGTATGGACTACATTGTCTGCTGGAGTCTTTTTTTTTCATATCTTTTTGACTGGAACCATAACTTAACAGTTTGCGCTCATCGGAGTATTCAGCTACAGAACTGACTTTCATATAAATATCGAAAATGATATATTTTAAAAAACCTTAAAATATCGACTAACGTGTACATTTTAATTTACAATTAACACTCTGTATGAGTCTGCTTGGCAGGCTTGTTTCCTAAATGCAAGATTTTTTAACTAAAGTAATGGTAGCTGGAATATATAATATTTGCTGAGCAAACAATTTTAGGAAGGCTGCAAGGATTTGTATCCATATTAAGAACTACACTTTTGGATAACATTTCTGGATCCATATTTTAGAAATTAAATATTGATAGAAAAAAATCTAAGACATCACTTACTTGGATCTGATTTAGAAAATGTGTCTCTGTCCAACAGATTTCTGAAAAAGAAGAGAAAGAAAAATGAAGCATTAGATAAATAAAAAAGTGAATAAAATCTGACAATACAGATTTAATAGTTTGAATGAAATGGATGCTGTTTTTTTTTCATAGCCATAGATTAAGATCAGTTATATCTAGTTAGACCAATTTATTTATGAAATGTTCTTACCCATACAATAATGCTTGTAATTGTAATTTTGAAGCAAAGGATTGGACACATTCACATATAGCTTTTAATCAGGTTTCAGACTTATTAGAAAAGTATTCTGATTGAAATTTTGCACTGACATTTTATTGAACAAATATGCCATAACTTAATTCAGTGTGCTAAAGAACATTGTCTGTGAAAAGGCTGATCCACATCGAATCTACTGTGAAAGTCGCAAACGAGTCCCACTTTTGTAAACCACACTGTAGCTGTATCATATGCTTTGTTCCAGGTCGCAAAGGCTTTGTTGCAGAATTTTGTCTCATTCCTCTTGTAAAGCCTGGACAAGAAATGACCTGTTCACTGGTCTCTGAGACACAGATGTCAAATGTCATGCAACAGGACAATAAACAGAACAATTAATAAGTGGTAAGAACAACTGCTGATGGCTCTTCTTATATTCATGTTTTCCTCAAAAGAAATTTTGTAAACAATAATAGTCCCAAGATATTTCTAACTGTTGACAATTTCAAATTCTTGCTCCTCAATGACTGTTGGTTTTGCAGCTGATGTCTTTTTTCTATAATCAATGATCGTCTCTTTGGTTTTTCACACATTAAAGTTGTTACACAATTCAAATCTGAATTGATGAATCTGAATGATGTGTCTGTATTCAATGGGGCTTCTACAGCTGTCTGTATAAAGTATGAATAAAATAGGGGACAATACACAGCCCATTCTGCTCCATGAAGTTCTCAAATCATTAGAACTTTGTTGCAGTTGAATAAGGTTGAAGTGATGTATTGTAAAATTATCACATAGCATCTTTTCATTTAAATTCTATGATTTTAACTATATATCCTAATACAGTATGTTTGTCTTGGTTCACCTGTCAACAATTCTGTAGCAAAGGAAGCATGCTGGCCACAACTTGTTTTGAGAAACTGAATCACCTAATATATTTTGACCTTATTGATCAAAATCTATTCACACATTTTAAAATGTTTTTAGAGGAACAACTACATGTGACATTGAAGCATTACCATGTACTGTGCAAACAAAACTTAGCAGTGACCTCAAAGTGTTGACATCAGTGTTGACTCTAATGAAAGTTTTGGTAGAAAGCAACCTTCAAATCACTTATTCAGGAACTTTCTAGCTGACACAGGTTGCTCCCCCAGCTGCATCACTAGAATCTGCGAGACATGTTTGCACACTGGAGTGGTTCAAATCCTTCCTCTGTACCGCAGTGAATCAATAGAAACTGAATACATTCACTGTACTGTTAGTACAAAAAGATCTTCAACATTCCCCAATATAAAACAGTGACAGAGCTGTTTACTTCTTATTTTTCTACAAATAAAGTTGACTTGATCATTTTAAATTTGTTATCGGAAGAGTATAAGAAAGTCTTCAATTGAAAGAAGGCCACTTGGGCCAGTTAGCACATTTGGCTAGTATGTACTGGTAGTACTGGTAGTATGTAATTGATCCCAGGATCTCAGGATGTCCAGCCATTTTTTGAATGAAGCAAAACTACATTCAAGTACAAACAGCTTCAACTACATGCCTGAGTAGCTTGTTCCTTCGTTCTGGGAGTAGAAGAAGGGGTACCTTATATTCTCATTTTTAAATGCTCTTCCACATGCTGTAGTTTTCTACTTGTGTGGAGGTTCCCACTCTGGTTCATATTTCACTTTTTAGTTTGAAGAAGTCCCCTGGGTTGACTTTTTCAATGCTTTCCGGAATTTCAAATACTTCTATGAGGTCCTCTTGTAGTCTTCTCTGTTCAAGATAGTTAATCATTCTTTTATAGAATTATCTGAAACAGCAGTGGGTTCTGTTATGTTGATTTTGGTAGACATCACACTTGTTAAAGCAGACAACTGAAGACGTCAGTCCAAGCACTCTAATATCTTTCACAATTGTTTGGCAAATACTGTAGATACATATCTTGTATTGCTTTTGAATATAATCAGAATGTTCCCCAACATAAGTCAAAATATGTTATATAGATATTATGCACATCTGGCATTTTCTATATATACGGTAGGTAAGCATTTTAATAATTAGTAATAATAATCATCATTTTTAAAAAATGGTAAATGGTTTACATAGGCAAAGTCGTATATATTCTGTAGCTCTTCCAAATTGCTTATTCTTCCCACTACATCACAAATGATACCTACCAACAGTACTATTTTAAATGCACTTTCATTTGGATGCACTGCAAATTACTTTCCATTTGAAAGGAAGTCTGATTGCAAGTAATTATTTGTGTTTTTTGTGAAAGTTAATTCTAAATGACTGGTCCAATACATATCTTATCATGTTTTAAATGTGAACAGCACTAAAACAGTTGCATAAGTTGATCATAGTGCTGAATCCTGAAACTATGATGTGTACCCATTCTGTAAGTCATTCAATACAGTAAAACAGCACAAACTTTAATTTTTGATGTTTCTGTTCAGACATTTTTAGATTTTTAGAATCAGAGCAGTAGGGGTTTCTTAGTCTTCCTGTGTTTATACCCGGAAGGTCTGAAACCAAACTGCACAATAACAAACACCAGCTTTGCATATATTGATTTCATGTGTTTTCACCAATAATGAGATTTTCAAAATTTAGCGAAAAATGTTATTGTTTGGAATAGCCTTTTTCCTCAAATGTACAGTATGCTCATTAAACGGTACATAATTAATGTTTTACAGAAAGTTTTTATTTGGAATGTAAATGCTAATTAAAGATCTTTTGTCATTATTTTTTTTACTTGTTAGATAAATTAGAGAAAGCTGTGAAACAAGGTGGGCAAACTTCAATAATGAAATGAAAATAAGAATTTCCATTTACTTTTCGAAAGGTTCAATTAATTTTATACCACAAGACATGCTGTTCAATCGACATCACACAAGTGAAGGAAAAGACGAGCCGACAATCTGATCATTTTCAGAGAACATTTATTTAAAACTCTTGCTAGGAAATTTATGGTAGACAGGTGTCACTGTGTGTGATTGTAACTGTTTAAAGTACCATGGTATTCAGGTGGATTCAAAAGCAAAGGTGCAATGGTATGTATAATATTGTTACAAATGGGGGCTACAAAACTGGAGAAAATCAGGAATTGACCAAGCAGTTTAGTCAATCAGTGAAATAATTATTCATAACATAAGATAAGATCACTTTATTGGCCATATACAATTTATATTATTAGGAATTTGTCTTTTTGCATACCCCAGCTTGCTCTCCATGAGACAACAGACAGGGATAGAAGCTTGGGGTCAGAACGCAGGGTCAGCCATTTATACCCACCGAAGCTAAGCAGGTTTGAGCCTGGTCAGTACCTGGATGGAAGACCTCCTGGGAAAAACGAAGGTTGCTGCTGGAAGAGGTGATGAAGAGTGACAGGGACACTATACTGTAAACAGGCGCCATCCTTTGGATGAGACATAAAACTGAGTTCCTGACTCTCTATAGTCATTAAAAATCCCAGGGCGTTTCTCAAAAACAATAGGGATGTAACCCTGGCATCCTGGCCAAATTTCCTATTGGCCCTCACCAATCATGGCCTCCTAATAATCCCCATCTATGAGTTGTTCTCTGTTCTCCTCCCCACTGATAGCTGATGTGTGGTGAGTGTTCTGGCGCACTATGGCTGCCGTCGCATCATCCAGGTGGATGCTGCAAATTGGTGGTGGTGGAAGGGAGTCCCCATTACCTGTTAAGAGCTTTAAGTGGAGTGTCCAGATAAGCACTATATAAGTGTAAGCAATTATTAATTATTTTTATTATTATAGAGAACCCCTGGAGCAGTTGGGGTTAAGGGCCTTGCTTAGGATTCCTCTACCGGCTGTGGGATACGAACCAGCAACCTCCCAGCCACAGGCGCAGATCCTTAGCCACAGAGCCACTGCACAATGACTTGTAAATTATTTCTATACCCGAGCAGCTGGTATAACGAAGACAACTTAATAAAATGATTATGATCTCATCATAGAAAGGAGTATCATGAACTACACAGGTAGTTCATGTGTAAATAAGCACAGGTAGGATACTACAAATGCTAAGAGAGAAAAAATGCAACACAAAGCACACAAAGGAGGCTAAAATAAGTAAAGTTTTTTAGCATTGCAAAAGTGTCTCAAAAATAAAAATGGAAAAAGTTTTGGTGATGAAAGGGAAATGGTTGATGTATTAAATGAATATCTCCCTCTGATGTCCATAAAAAGAAATCAACTACATGCCTCAGGCTAAGTAAAGGCAACCTTCTACATTAAACAGTATTAACATAAAAGCAGCAGAGGTGATCAAGTACCAGAAGATAAACAATTCTCCAGGGCTTGATGCTGTTCTAACAACTGTACTTAAAGAAAGACTATGTTCATAGGCCATTAGCTAAGCACTTCCAACAGTCACTCAAGCAATGAAAAAACCCACTGACATGAAAACTGCTAATGTATAGTTTATTCTAAAACAAAAAAATTGTGAAAATTATGTAAACAATTACTCAAACAAAATTAGAATATAATTTGCATGGAAATAGGATTATGAGATATTCTAATTTCTGACTTTTTTACCCATTCTTTGCATAAACAAGAGCAGTAATAGAAACACAGCTTTTGATATGCTACATCCAGATTTTAAGAATGCTTCTGATAAAAAACAGAAAAAAGAAAGTCAATTATCTAATATTAATATCTAATATAGTTGGTAACTAAGTCAAATTCCCATCTAGCAGAATAGCAGTATATAGCAATGAAAGATACTGAAAAGGAAATCTAACATACTATAAAGAAATATTACATGGAGGTAGCAACAACATAAACTACAAAATGGGAAACAGACTTTGAAGAA